ACCCCTGAGCCCTTTTTGATGGTCCTCTTGCAGTTAATGTTTGTATTGGAGCATGGTCTCATCATTGGCAGCTTGTTGCGCTTCTTGAAGTTGGTGATTCATCGTTTGGATCATCAGTTCAGCCGCATGAGGGTCTCCGTAGCGATGCCAGTGGGACCCATCCAATGCTGGTGGACATCCCCGGTGCTTTGCATGAATCCTTTGATTCGGCCCTTTCAGCAGGTGTCAGGTTGTTGTAGTGCAAGTTGGAAGCGAGCCTTCGGTTGCTCCCGTCTGGCCTTTGGGATGGTTTGAGCCACGTCCTTGAACAGCCCACGGATGTTCTTGCAAAAGATACTGCTCAGTCTTGGAGATCCAGTCCGCCCACTCTTGCGCTGGCCCATTGGGTGGGTTGCCATATAGAGCTCAAGCCTTTGGTAGTGGTGGAAAGTACTGCATCTGGCGGTATTCTTTGGTGGCTGCCTCAATGTCAAACTTGAGCTTCAACAAGGCATGTGGGCGCCATGGCACTGCCCAGTCAGTGGTGATGGAGGTCGTGCCCGCAAGTGTGTTGTGGAGGATGCCAAAGTCAATGACATTGCCGGAAAGGACACTGTGATCAGGAGCAAGGATGCCAAATTGGAACAGTGGTGGCCAGACTGTCGGGATGGTTCTGCCAGACCCCAATTACCACATGTCAAAAGTGCTAGCAGCTGTCCAATGATGGTGGAGTTTGTCTCACTTTGCAGTGTCTCCCCTGTGCGTAGATATAGTCCAATCACCAAAATAGGCTTCAAACTCCGCGAGGCCGCACGCAGGATCAGCTAAAACCGAAAGGCCACCATGTGTGCCTGTGTTATCTTGGTTGGGAGAGGCTGGGGTGCCAAAAGCTGTTCTGCCTCGAATGGTGAAGTACGAGCAAAGTTCACAGTGCTTCTGTGGGTCCAGGTGCGTCTCAGCAAAGATGTATATCCCACTGTCTCTGATCCAGTACCAATCAATGACTTGTCGACCCATGTTGGTGACCCAAAGTGGAGGACGTTGTGATCTTGTTCAACTCTGGCTTTCTTTGTTGGGCTGGGGTGCAGTGGAGGATCATAGTCCGGCTCCTCAGGAGGTGGTAATCCTTGCAGCACCTGCTGTGGTGCCTTGAAAGCGTCCAGGCTGACAGCCCAGACTTGCGTGATCTGACTTGGCGTCAGATGGGGCAAGTGGGTGGGAACCTTGCCGTCGTCTGCCAACCACATCAAATCGCGATAGATGAGGATGGCAAAGTAGTGGCCCTCTTGATGAGTTTGGCCCCTATGGCAGATCAGAACTGCAGGCACAAACTCAGTGGAAGTGCGAGCAAAGCCATCCAGTGATCTCGGCGTGGTAGAGTTGCCATACGGATTGAAGGGCTTGCTGTGCTTGGTCATGGTGCCATTGATACAAATCTTCCTGGTGACATGGCAAATCACCACTTTTTTGTCATCCATCAAGTATTGTCCCAAGCCTTGGTTGGCCCAGTTGTTGATCAACTGTTGGAAGGTGACATCTTCTGGCCAGTCGTCTAGGTATGGAACCAGGATGGGCTGTTGGACGTGGTCTGTGAGGTATCCACCCTCTTTGATCTCAGCAAATCGGTAGTGGAAGGCTCTGCTTTGGGATAGAAGCCACAATGAGTTCGCGAAGTGGCTGGCATCTCCCTGGACGTTTAGGTCATGCTGTTTCCATAGTTCGTGGAGTCCAGGTAGACTGTGGATGTCAACGGCCTCCGCAGTGTCTATGGACTCTTGAACAGCGTCTTGCAGGGTGCCCCATGGTTGTGTGCTTGTCTCCTGGAGCAAAGACATACCCAGGTAAAGGCTCTCCAAGGTGCATCGGCGTAGCACCTCGCACTTGGATTGCCCACTGCCATAGTGAGGTTCTGGAGGATGCAATCAGTAGAGGTGGCATAGTCTTGCATCGTTGACTGCCTTGGTTGGGTGGCCGTAGTGCTCACTGTGGTCTCAGTTGCACCTCCACGAATGTGGACAAAAGCACTGCCATCCCCTCGGATCAGCAGCGTTGCCAAAAATGCAGTGATTTGGTGGCTCATCAAAATTGAAAAGGATTTGCTCTCCTCTACCAGTGAATGACCTGTCCCCGTCATTGGTGGTGTGGAGCTCCCGAGAAAAAGGTAGTTGGTCAGTCGTGGCATGTGTCTGGTCCCCTGCACACGGTTCAACTGAGTGCCCCTGGGTGGCATCTGAGCCTGAGGCAGCACGGCAAACCGGTGTTGGTTGTCGAAGCACTGCTGGTGGCATGGATGCCTCTTCAAAGGTCGATGTCCATTCAAACTGTGCCCCCATGATTGGACTTTCAGAGCCTTCACATGACAAGTTGTCATCGTCCGGAACTGGGAAAGTCCACCCCTCTAGCATGCTCCTTGAAATGTTACCCACACTGTCCTGGTAGGGCTTGGGCCGTGGCATCAGTTTTCCCGCGCTTAGTCTTGTCGTCAGGATCTTGATTGGGCCTCTTCAAAAGCCCATGGAGCTGGGTCTTTTGCTCTTCCGTGAGGGAGATGCCCAGGCTATGCACAAAGGATTCAACCGCCATTGGCATTTGTTCGGTTTCCCCGGTTGGCTCAGTCAGCTCAGCTGGCGTGGGAGTCTGGTTAACCGCTTTCATGTAGTCCTCTGACAGGTTCTTTAAGGTCTTCTGGCCGTCTGCGAGCTTGACCTGGAGTTCCTGCATGTCACTGAGGAGTGCAGCATACTGGGACTTGACATGATCAATTTTTGCCTGTAGTTGAGCCTTCTTCATAGACATGTTCTTCAACTCAGTGACTTGACCTTTAAGTTTAGCCGCTATCTATCGCTCCGTGCAAGGCTCTGGTGTGGTGAGCTTCGTGACGAGGTCTTGCACCTGCTGAGGAAGAGCTTCCATGTGAGATCGAAGGACATCTTTGAGCTCTGGTTCCTCTGGTTTCGTTGGTCCTATACCCAAGGCTTGCAGCTTGGTTTGGGCGTCATCAGATAGGCTGGACCAGGCCGTGGACAGGAGCTCAGTTGCCTCCTGTTGGACTTTGGAGCGTTTCAGCGGTTTGACCTTGAAGGCCTGGTGGTGGTTTAAGCCATTGCTGGTTGCTGGTTTGGGCTTTGTTGGCTGGTTTGCCGTGTGAGTGGTTGGCCACCACGTTCCACATCGGCGGCATCGCGTTCCTGGTTGGAGTTTGTCTTGCCATATCCAATTGTGGCATGAACTCTTGCTGCAGACAGTGTAGGCTCTGCACCAGGATGGTGTCATTGTCCTGGATCCGTTGGACCTCAAGGGCCTTGCTTGCCGGTCTTGATGAGGGCAAGGGGCGGGTCGCGCTCTGCGATCAGGCCTGAGTTGGTGACTGTGGTGTTGTGCCAGTGACCTCCACCTTCCCCAGGTGATAGCCAGGCGAGAAACTGCCAGCCACCAAAGAGCTCGGTTTGAAAGCTGTCGAGGGGGTCAAATATCACGGGCAAAGAATGTGTTCTAATCGAACTTGAAGATGGGCCGCGCTCGATGTGGTAGTGCGGAACTATGTTCGAGTGGGGAAATCCGCACCAACCGGTCTTCGTGGGGAGCCGGTTTGAGCACTTGCGGCTTGAGCCATGCATGTATGTGTGTATGCATGTAATTAAGTAAGTATGTATGTATGTATGTATGTATGTGTTTATTTATATACAGTATTTATATTGCTGGAGAAAGTGCAACTTCTGAATCTCACTTCACAGGCTCACTTCGGCTCAACACCCTCCGGGATGTTGACTCAGTAACGTCCAAGCGTTTTCAACTCCGCTTAGCCTGTGACTCAGAAACTCCAGGGTGTTCGCGTTCGACGCGCCAAATGCAGCTCGCCTCAATGCGAAAAAAGCATTCACAGTCGGCTGATGTCGGCCATAACGTTTGTGAATTACCCATTTTTGGTCGGGCCAAATGTCCTAGGAACTTCTGCTTTTCAGACCCAAAAATTGACGTTCCTCATAGTTGTCCTAACTCAATTAGGGAGGTGGCAATCTATTGAGCTTAAGTAAGGTTAAGTAGGCAAGCTATTGAGCTTAAGTAGCTTCCCAACCTAGAACATGCTAGGACTCTAGGACGCTACTTAGGGCGTCTTCAAGGAAACAGAGCGGGCACTTGGGTCTCCAACGCAATCTGGTGCCCATCAAAGCCAGCAATCTTAGCAACAAGGACCAGCAGTGATTAGCAAGAAAGCTCTGGACAGAGCAAGTACTTAAAGCCGAAGATGAAACTCAAGGTAATAAGAACCTCACTTAACAAATCAAGCGGTTGCCTCACTACTCACTTAAGACTTCTGTTCAGTACTCCAGGCAGCCCTGGCAGGTAGCAAACTGGCCGCAGCTGCAGTAAGCCCCATGGAGCCGCCTGAAGCTGGCAGCAGGTTGGTTGTTGACTCTCGTGGATGGTTGTTAATGTTCATCCTATCATCTGGACAGGCAGTGAGTAGTAGTAGCTATGAAATGCGACTCCTCCCCTTAGTACTTAGTTGTGCGGAGCTGCGTGAACTCTGTGACTGTATCTGCATGGAACCCGTGAGGGGTAAATCAAACATGATAAAATATATAAGCAGACTCGTCTGCATCTACGCAACCGCTTCACGGCATTTCTTGGCACGGGGCTCAGCAAAAGTGCATCCACAGGAACTAAGGGCATCTGGCACAGTCATATTGTAGCTGCTGTTTTCACAGGCCGCGCTACTCTGGTTGCTTCTTGCTTCTGAGACTCTTCTGAGCGGTTGACATCACATCACCCAACATCGGCGAAAGCAAGCGGCTCATCACAGATTTTAATTGGAATCGGAACAACTATATACATGGTTGCAGCATGTACCCAGTGTGCCAGTGTCGATGCCGTGTGCCAACCAGCTTTCAATCACGTCGGCTGGACTGCACGCAAAGCCTGGGATCAGGGAACACAAGGTGGGCTGTGCGCGGATGCGATAAGCTGCCACACACGAAGGGCGAAGGGCAATTGACAAAGGAGCAACTCAGCATCAACAATCAAAACATGCCACGGTCACACTGTCTTACAACGGAATATTGCGCGAAAGCCCTCATCAATGTCGCTGGTCTTTCAAGTTCAAGCCCTACGCAATGCACCGCACTTGCGATCCAAGGCAAAACCCTGCTCACAGCTGGCACCCATTTTTTCCAATCCGGACAGCCCAAGCGTGCCATCTCCTTTTGACCTGAAACAGGGGTTGCAATTGACAAAGGCCAAAAGGACACATCATGAACTGTATCATTGATCAAAACCTTCTCCCTGTAGCCTCGTATCATCAGTCGATCATACAGGGCGTCAGCATCTGCCAAGAAGCGGTGCTCTTCCTGGATGGGGGATGTTTTTTGTTGAGCTGACCAATACACGGTTTGCACTAAATAGGGTGTGCCGTGTATGATTTCCTTCGGAAAAGTTACATGCCATCTTTCATCTGCTGCCCCTACTCGGCTGCAATGGTTCTCCCTCCGCGGCTTTGTTGTTTTCATGGTGGTTTTCATGCTATTCCCCTAAACCTCCCCCCGCAGAGTTGCTGCTGAGCCACCGCCGCTTTCTGCAAACAAGTGAACCAAGTGTTAAACATTCCAAGTGCGCTGACTCCTTCACGTTCCCTCGTCCCTTTCACTGTGGACTATGATACTGGATGAACCTGTGACTAAGTGTATATCGCCGTGCTTTCCCACTTCGGTGCGCAGTGTGGTCCCCGCAATAACGCCGAAACCACGGTGTATCACAAATGGACTTTGCGTTTTTGAGTTCTGGGGTTCTGATGTTGGATTGAATTGTTTCACCCATGAATCAATGCCGCCGAGCTCACGGGCTAAATGCCGCCGGGCTTACGGAGAATGAACCCCCACCCCCACCCCCTCGCCTCTTTCCTTCTTGCGGTTTCTTCGTTTGTTGGGTGTTTCTTCAGGCTTGTTAGGTTGTTCTTGAGGCTCGTTTCCCTGCCACTCGTTTTGTGTTTTTCGTTTTACTTCTAGTTCTAATAAAGGTAACGGAAGGAAATGGTACTCGACACACTTGTGTGTCGGTGCCTTTCCTTCTGTTGTCCCTGTTCTAGTCTACTCTACCCGGGCGGTCTAAGACTAAAAGTCCCGCTCCCTAACTACTGCACACAATTAAAGACTGCTAAGGATTCAGTAACTAGTTTACCTTTTTAACTACACCTACCTTTCTCTCTTGCCCTCTGCGTTTTCTCCTTCTGTCTGGTGCCTATTCAGGCTTGGACTCCGTAATTTGCCGTTCGTTCGGCAGACATGCGTGCCCCTATACTCCTATCTTTCTTGCCCTTTTCCTTTTGCTGTTGCTTTTCTTTTTCCGTTCTTTTTTAAGGCTTGTTAGGCAGCTATTCAGGTTTCCGGCCAGCGTGCGCACCGCCGGTGCGAGGGAGCGCCGCGAAGCGGCCACATGTGTGTCTGTGGGTGTGTGTCAAACCCTGTTTCTAAGGGCTGTTCATCTGCAGAGGGCCATCCCTCTCACCAGTGGTGGAGGGCCACCCAAGAGGCCACTGGTGAGGGCTGTAAGTGTACCTGCACAAACACACCGACTCCAATGGTTCTCCCTCCGCGGTTTTGTTGTTTTCATGGTGGTTTTCATGCTATTCCCCTAAACCTCCCCCCGCAGAGTTGCTGCTGAGCCACCGCCGCTTTCTGCAAACAAGTGAACCAAGTGTTAAACATTCCAAGTGCGCTGACTCCTTCACGTTCCCTCGTCCCTTTCACTGTGGACTATGATACTGGATGAACCTGTGACTAAGTGTGTGCGTGTGTGTGTGTGTGTCAACCCCTGTGCCAAAGGGTTCACTGCCAACTTCTACCTTTTTCACAGCAGGGGGCCATCCCCCTCCCCAGTGGCGGATGGCCAACGAAGAGGCCACTGGGGGGGGCTGCAAACGTACCTGCCGAACTGTTGTACAAGCTGTCACTCCACTCTTTCTTTGTTTGTTTCCATGGTAGTTCATGCTACTTCCCCTAAACCCTTTTCCCTCGGTTTCAGCTGCCGTCCGCCGCTCGTCCGCTGCTGTCGCGAGTCTGCAGATGCGCACAAACTATTTGTTGAAACACCTTCAATTGATCGGACTCCTCACCTTGCCGTTGAGCCATTCCTTTCCTCGGGGAATTGAGTTAACTGAATACAAGTGTCGAAGTGTGTGTGCGTATAATGGCATTTAGAAAAGGAGCCGGAGAGGTTCCTCGCCACTCTTTCCGAAAGCCAACCACTCATGTCTGTCTCCTGAAGCGCCAGCATCCACAAGTGCTCCTGCAGTTGGCACCATGCCAGGCGTTGAAAGGATCATTTGTTTGGAGGCCAGGGTTGCAGTGTTTCCTGAAAAACCTTTGAGATCCTTTGAGGCATTTTCGCCGTGGCTTGGATACCGACTGGTCGACCTGTAGGTTGTTTGTTACATTGCTACGTACATGGTGTTGGGGCTCTTGACTCATTTCGTTGGCCAAACCCTTAGGTCAGCCTTAGGTACAGTGCAAGCTGGCCCAGCCTCGACTTGAAGCACCTGCTGCAGGTCTTTCTTGTAAAGCTTGGATCGTAGACCAGCTGCACGTGCAGCTGCCAGCAAGGCCTCTTGATGTTGCTACAAGCTGCTGGAGTCTCTTGATGTTGCAGCAGCTACTGATACCCAACCAAGTCTTGGCAAAGACATACACACAGTACCTTGAAGCTCCAATGAGCAAGAAACATTCTAGCATATTCTAGTGATTCCAAATGCAACCGCTGCACGAGCGCAAATGTGTCCATTGACTGAACCTGGACCCAGGATGCTTCAGCACTCCACAGGCCACCACCCTTCCTCCGCTCACTCGCACGCCGCCTGCATCTTCTTACCATGAACCAATTTTTGCCGGCCCTGCGCGGGATGGGGGAAGGGTGGGCTACCCTGCGGAATATGCATCCTATCAAACATCACACTCTTGAGGTTGTCGGTTATTATTGCTCCCTCCGAACACGCCTCCAAAAAAAATGTCAGCATGCACTTCACTGTTGCATCAAAGTCGTTGGAGTAGTGGACAAGTGAGAGATGCAGCACGTTGGCACGTTGCCACAGCCTCAGGTTATGACTGAAATGTAAGGCGCACGGCGGCTGCAAAGCTCCCCGAAATGGACTCCCTCTAATTTGCACAATCCAACGTCTTTCCCTAATATATCAATGCCAAGTGGCACCTTTCGGGTTTACGGAACTGTGAGTGTGCATCAACCCTCCAAAGTGGTTTTACCCAGAGTCTGTCGACGTCTCTTGTTTCTTAGAAAGCTGGGTATGGACTCTAGCTGCTAGCTCGTTTTTCCCCCCCTCCATAAACCACTTGGAAGGCTCATTGGAGGGCTACACACCATGGAGCCATTGACCGCTCAAATCGCGAAACAGTACTGCCCTGCGCAGCTCTGATCAGCGCCTCTCTCGTGCCGGACAGCCCTCCGCCAGTGTGACGAAAGTAGGGTGGCCGAGGGTGGCTGGTTCCCAAGGAGACCCTGGACTCGGAGCAAAACGTCCCTTGTTCCCTACGAGTCGCACCAGTCAGTTGTTTTCATACTTCTGCCAGGGCGCTTCATGTTGTGCAGCATCTTCAAGATCTCCCAGCGGCTGCGTCGAATTTCAATCTCGACTCCGCGTTCAGTGGGGCTAGTTCGCAATATCTCTTGATACCTCATCTTTTTGACCCGAGGAAGTAAACCGTATATATATATATATAACATGATTTGATTGGATTGCTCCAGACATGACTGGTCTTCAACATAGTTGAGAATGCAACCCTTGTTGGAGTGCCATATCTGCCTGGCCGGAATCGATCTAAAGGCGGCAAACTGTATGTGCACCAAAAAGGTTTTTGTGTAAGCCTTGGGCGAATCCTTCAGCGAATCATTAACCGACGTGGGCTTCTTCAGTCTGCCCATGGCACGGTGCCACATACGCGATCAGGAAGTCTCTAAATTCTCTGTTTGGCCGGTGCCCCACAATCACTGGCCTAACAAAGCCTTCGAAAAGCTAAGGCTGGTAAAGGGCCGCTAGGGCTAGGGCCGCTAGGGCTAGGGCCACTCGGGTTTTGACAATGCATGTTGATGCATGTTGCTTCCTTCGCACTGCCCCGTATGTCCTGGTGGCTTTGCACACCACTTGAGGATTATCATATCTGGTAGTGAATGGGTTGTCCAAAACACACCCCCGGGAGGAGCAGGTTGGGGTCATGCACGCTGATCCTTGACGGGAGGACTTTGACTCAACCGGAGAGACTTTGAAGTATTTTCTGCTTGAAGGGATGCTCTTTTTTAGCCCGTCTGCTCACAAAGTCGGGTAGGGATGCCTCGTGGATGTTACTACTAGAAAGGCACTTGTTACTACTAATAAGGCACTTGTTACTAGAAGCGATGCACTTGTTCCTAGTAGCGTCCTTGTTACTACTAGTAAGTAAGGCACTTCTTATATTTGTGGCTTTCTGGGATTGCTGGGCTTACATGATGCTCTAATTTCTGCCAAAGCTGCGAGCAGTTGAAGTCGCAGCCACTGAAAATACTCCTGACTGAAAATGGAAGCAAGCACCTCTCTCCAAATCACACATGCGCCATTTGTCACACAGAGTTACCGCGTGTTACCGCAAATAAGGATTGCAATTGCCAGCAAAGCAAGACCTTGCTGTGGGTGACCGTGCTGCACCTTACTTTTGTGAAACCATGATGATGTGTGAAAGCTTGACACTCTCTCAGAGACGTACGATCTTTTTCATGAAAACATTTGCAACAAGTGTGAGTCGTCACACTGGCTGGCGGCTTGGCTTACGCAGCCCTGCGGTGAATTTTGCCGCTTTGGTCTTGGAAGGCTTGCTGTCCTCGCCGAACCTGGTTCGTCTTGTCTTGGAGCTCGTCTTCCAGCGCCACCGCACCCACCGTCTTGCTGTCGGCCCACCCCCTGCCACCTGAACCACAGGAGTCCAGCCTTCCGTAGTCCAGCAGGAGTAATGGTAAATGTTGAAGCAGGTGGGCAAAGCACCTTTTCAATTATGCCATGTGGGTGCATCTGTCTTCATCTTGCTTCCTCCAAACTGATCTTTTCCGCGGCTGCTTGCTGGCAAAAGCTGGACATCATTGCAGCAACCAGGCACTCATAGGGCTCAGCAGGCTCAGCACCCGTATTGTTGCCATGCATGTACGCAGCTATAGCATTGAAAGCCCGGTTGAACATGACTTCGCCGTGCCTTGCCAGCGCTTATCGCAAGGTATCGTGGAGAAGGCACCATGTGGCAATGATAAGGGACGCCAGGAATCCTAAAATTACATTAATAAAAACCAAAACGAAGCAGCAAAGCTGGCAAAGTTGAAGTCTGAGTCACATTTCGGGCAAGCGCCTTGCAGTTGCCAAAAACCTGACCTGGTCTAGCCACGCACTGCCAACTTTGGTCTCTGGTCTCATACAGCCGTGTACACCACTTGTCCGCACTTGGTCACGTGCAAAGAACCTGGGCCAGCGCAACAAACGAGAGAACCTGAGCTTGACACAGGCCGAAGAGGATCAAACGGGAAAAGGGAAGATTGTTCTGTTGCTGCGCACTTTGTATGGATGCCTTTTATATCGCTTGCAGGGTCCCAGTGAGTGTGGCCGCAACCTTCTACATTGTGCATTCTGCCATGTTGTTCTTCATTTTCTGTAGATGGAAATTGACATCCAAGCCCTCACTTGTCCAGAAGCTGTTGTTTTAAGATTGCCTGACAAGCCTTTTGGAATCATGTGATGATTGGGTGTGGTGGATCCAACCTCCTGATGGGCGTGTTTGCTCGAGGTGGGTGACTCGGGGCTGTGACTGACCGGGGCTGCGTGACAGGCATCCATCGACCATCTGAAACAAAGACGATGCATTTGACAAAATGGTGAAGCACACGGGCAACGGAAGGAAGTAAAGAGAGGTCTTCTAATGTCTTCTTAGTTGTATAAAACCTCCGATCCTGTCCTAACTATCCTAAGCGACATCGACCGCGCAAAGGTTCTTCAAGCCAGCTCCCCAGCCTACCCCCGCCCCACAAAGAAGCGCAAGTGGCAACAGGAAGTCCGTCAAAATCTGCACTAAGTGAAGGTCTCTATAGGATTGCCGTTGCCGGCCATATTGAAGGTCCACAGCCTTTGCATGGTTCAAAACGAGAACACCAAAAGATCCAACTAGCAAATGGTTTAATATAGTCATAGTCATATAGTCGATTCTCTTAGGGGTAGGTCGGCCATCACAGGTCGAGCAGCAGCAGCAGCAGCAGGAGCAGGAGCAGGAGCAGGAGGAGCAGTAGTAGCAGTAGTAGTCGTCGTCGTAATGGTAGTAGTAGCCGTAGCAGTAGCAGTAGCAGTAGCAGTAGCAGTAGCAGCAGCAGCAGTAGTAGTAGTAGTAATAGTTACTAGGCCCTGCTAATTGCAAGGACGCAGAAAAGCTCAGGCTTCCCATCATTGATGATTGATCCTCACCTCCTGCAGCTTTTGCAAATCTGCCAGCCAGCTATGGAAGGATTCCTCCAGTTCCCTTGGTTCTTTGCTTCGAGCGTGACGGCTTATGAGAGCTGCCATGGCTGGCTTGGTGATGTCCTTGGCACAAAATCTCTGGATGCAAAAATCGGAGTGTTCCTGGAGGCCGTAGAGTGGATCTCGATAAGAATGCAAAAGCAGGCCCACTGAACACCGTGCAACACCGTGCTGCCCATTGAAGTTCTTTTCGATTATATAATGCATGATAATATTAGCCGTATGCGCCTTTGTCATACGTATGTAGGTATGTACAGTCTGTCAGTCTGTCAGTCTGTCAGTCAGTCAGTCTGTCTCTGTCTCTGTCTCTGTCTCTGTCTCTGTCTCTGTCTCTGTCTCTGTCTCTGTCTCTGTCTCTGTCTGTCTGTCTGTCGTTCGTACGACGTACGTTCGTATGTATATGTCTGTGTGTGAGGCTCGGTGAAAAAGTTCAATGTGTGGCCGTCGTATTCAACGGCCAGTTTGAGAACATCCTGTGGTTGGTTTGGAGCATCCGCGGCAAGTGTGCTGTAACACTCAGCTTTTGTGATGATCGCAAAAAGTTGAAGGAACCTCAGATTGGGGGTTATCCAAAAACGTCTTTTTTTAGGTTCCTTCCGCCGGCCTTCCTGATTGCACAGAAGAACACAGGTGTTCCTTTCGCGCAAGCCTTATGCCAGCTTTACGGAACGTTCAGCAAGACTTGCTTGAGCAGCCTCGTCCAACCCCTTTCTCAACACTTTGGAAGTCTGTTTGCGCCATTGTGATGAGTCTGTATCATTGCATGGAGTTCACAGTATTTTGGGATCTATGATCTATGCTTGAAAAAATGTTTACACATGGGTGGGTGGATAGCCCTTTTGCCGTCCTTTAAAGAAACCCTGTATGTCAAGGTCATGAGTCATGAGAAAAAATGTGAAATCACATATGACATTTATGAATCACATACGCACACACTTCCGCTGCAGCAGTATGATACTTCATGTATGTCGCATAGGTAAGTTGATGTAGGTCCAATCGCCGTCCAATCGCCGGCCCTTCAAGAACTGCAGTTTCCCTTTCCCGAAATGTCTGCTGTAGCGTTTCATCTAAACTCTTGGACCATTGGCGGACGGCTCTCATATTTCTTGATGTTGTTGCTCTGGTAGTGACGCGGGCGCGTCTTGCAGTCTTGCAACACGGGGTCAATGAATTTCACACAACCTCCAAATTAGATCTTTCCTTCAGGAATGCAATGAAGTCCTCCTCGTTGCATTCAAGAGCAAAATTGCCACCTTGTATGCTGAAGGTTTACCAGAGAGGTTCACTCCTGTTGGCTACATTGCCCATATTCAGTTTCTGTTGTTGTGGTGGTGGTGGTGGCGGCGGCAGTGGCTATTGCCGCTGTTGTTGTCGTTGTCCTTGCTTTTTGGGACACATGTGTTCCAAAATCTATCAGCAAACACTGCACAAACTGTTGGAAATTAAAAGCCAAATCTGACCAACACAGTAGTTGCATCTGAGCATCATGTTTCCAGCAAGGAAACGGAGCCTGAGGAGTTGGACATCTCTTTGAGCACAGGTGCACTTTTCTCTTCCTGTATATATAAGTTCAATTCTCTTACACATCCAGCACATCGCGAATCGCTCACTAAGCTGACTATATAGGTAGGTCTAATCCACTCTGTCCCGGTCAGTTTAATGCAAAGATCTCTAGGCATTGTCATCTCCATTCAAGATGGACAACTGCAGCAAACTGTTCATGCCAACCTGCTCTATGCTTCACGTATTTTCCGATTAAACGTATCCGTTTCGTCTCTGCTTCTCTGTCTGGCATATTCATCTTGAATATCCTGTCCTGCTTCAAGTCCCTCTCTTTCTCATACCACACCTTCTTGCCTTATCACCTCCGACCGCCTCCCGCAAATCGTCCGGGCGAGCTGTCAAAGGTGACATGGAAACCTCTGCCTCCCCGCATGTTCAATCCAGCCTCCGCCAAGCGTGGTACAGCCTGTCAAGGTTGTCAGCAGCTTTATAAACATGAACAGCGACAGTGCTGTTATCTGTGCGCGCCAACGCCTGCAATGGCCAACTGAGATCACGTGCCCCTAGAGTCCAGTTGTTGGCACGGGTGCCACGGTGCAAAACCAGGACCTAGCACAACGGCATGCTGGGCAGGTGGGCAGGTGGGTGGTTTTGGGTCAGAAACACATTCAACCAAGGCCAAGCATCGAATCATTGTCCAGGATAAGTTCAACCACATAGTGATGGTTTTGTTTTTTGGGACTTGAACAGTTATATATATAATATTATGCATATAAATTATACAGATTTATACAGTATATTCTGGGTGTCGTTCATCGAACAGGTGCTCAGGTCTGCACCTTGAAAGAGGACCAAGCATCCTCATTCGAGTGACGGTACCAGGCATGCAGACCAATCGTGCGAGGTCCGCCAGCACGCTCCAGCAAGCTGGCGACCGGCCGATCCAGCCACTCGTCAAATGCGAACCTCATGTCGCCGATGGATGCGAAAGGTAGCGCGTGGTCGTGGTTCTCTCTTATACATGGCTTTCGCAGGCCAAAGGTGTTGGAACATGTTGGAACCAAAACCACTTTGAAGAATGTGGTTGCCTCAGGAAGCAACATCGACCTGTTGTGTTTTCATGTGTCTTCTGTCCTCAAAACGGAACACAAAACACAGGATAACTGAACACTAGGCTGGATGCAATGCGTCTAAGCACCTGGACAACTGCACGTTCAATCCCTCATGCCGCTTCCTTATACTGTGGTGAACATGAATCAGAAACCTCGCACTTCTCCACATACGTAGCTGTCCTTTGCTGCCCTTTTAATCGGCTTACAGTAACCAACAGAAGGGTTGAAGAGATTGGCAAAGCACAGCTCGGTACCCATTCTATTCCAAACTGGGGCAATCTCTTGCAAGGGAAACAAAGCTGCTTGGACAGCTACTTCCTTCCGCTATGTCCGTCCTGTCTCTTCCTATCTCTTCCTCTCTAGAATCATTCTCTTTTTCCCTCTCTCTCTCTCTCTTGGCCTGTCTTCGCCAAAGAACTCCAAGTGAAATATAGGCGCATACGCAGCAGTTCGCCATCCAGCAGTGCTCCCTGCACCAGCTGCTTCGGTGAAGTCCACAGTCATTGTAATATCCTGAGCAGTTGCGGCATTTAGTGATGTCAAGCATAAACGAGCGCGAATATGCCCAAATTGCAGGGCGGTGTCTAGACGTTAGTTTCACGTCTTCGTTCATGGATTGGGTCACGAATCTGTTTCAAATGTGCAAACTGTTGTCCCACCTGCAAGCCAGGGCAGGCCAAATAGGATCCAGCACATCCAGATAAAGCTTGACGTGCATCCATGATGTGGATGCCCTCGTGATTCGGGTGCACCAATGCATGCCTGACTCCCAGCAGAGCAGGGAGAAAGAAATGTGTGGCCTGTGTGGGTGTGGAGGGTAAGGGGCGCTCCATTTGGGTGGCCATGGTCGACTTGCACACGGTCCCTGACCCTGTCCACATATTCGACGGCGTTTATTTGGTACTAAACTCAAATTCACTATCTATTATATATGTGGGGGCCCTATCTTGTTTAGACTACTTAAGTAGGAGGTCATGTCACATTATCTCGTTCAGACTACTTTGGTAGCAGATCACACTATCTCGTTCAGACTACTTTAGTGTCATCAAGCATAAAGTATATCGTTTATGTGCGGGGCACTGTCTCATTCACAAGCGAATACTGATGATAGACAAGCAAATAGAGCATGCCGTAGACTATGTAGTAAAGCCTAAATACAAGTGGTTGCTCACATTGAACCCTCGGTATGGAACATGGAGGCTTGCCATGCTAACCATGAACATGGTGATCAGCTACATGGTGCGGCCACAATGCCACAAGGCAACTGGATGGACACATGCTTTTGTAGATGGAACAAACAAGGATATATTTCAAACAAAGTATATAATATTATAGAACTGTCTGACGAACATGGACCAGCAGACAAAAAAACGTACCTCTCTCTCTGTGTTAATGCTTAAGGATACCATACCAGTGCATCTGCATCTGCACCGTAGTCCATTGAAATCATGAAGCCTTCATCCACGAGTTTGCTGGCCTCAAGCATCATCAACAACCCCCACGATGGTTGCTCATGTTGTCTCATTTACAAACTTTGCACCTGCCTCTCGCACAAATTGCGAATGCCCAGGCTGCACCAAGACCTTCCTGCATAGGTTGGACAGGCAATTTTGAAAGTTCTTTCGAACAAGCTTGATCAAAATGAATCTTTCTGTCAGAAGCAAGGAGGAACTAGGAGCAAGGACGCTACTAGGGGCTCCTGGCCTTACTACCAGGAGCAAAGGACGCTACTAGGAACAAAGGGCATCGCTGCCGCTACTAGGAGCAAGAAGCTACTAGGAACAAGCATGTACAACATTGTTCTGAATTTCTGTTTTAACGTTCGAGCGCCACGAGACTGACATACAACCCCTTCCCTGCCACCTGCGCCTGGGGGGGCCCTCCCTTAATGATGCAAGTAAAATGGTGAGCCCGGTTGCATGGGGTGGTAGATTACAAACAATCAAACAATATCTATTTTATGCGGTTTTGCGCACCCTTTTTTTCGCACAAGTGGTGGCTCCAAGGAGTCCAAGAAGTTCGAGTCAAGCAGCAGTTGTAGCGTCTTGCGATCCGCATGACGAAGATCGTAAAGATGTGCCACGGCACTGCGCAGTTCTGTGGCCAAAGCCAGGCGCTGGGCATGCCTCTGGCGCCATGCTTCCAACTCTTGACACCTCAGTTCCAGAATCAAAAGGTGCAAAGGCGCTTCTTCGTTTCTTCTATACCGGTATGCATTTTAATAGGAAGACATCTAACCAATGGGTTTTGGTCTATGTTCCTTCTTCCAGGGGGTCGAATCGAACTGGGAGGCCTCGCTAGTTCTAATGTACACCCAATATGATCCAATATGTATATCTTGCATATCCCTCTTACAAATCCTCTTACGAAAATCTGCAGAGGGCAAGGTCAGAGGTGACAAAAATGTGCATTTCCTGACAGAGTAGCTTCTTGCTACTTGCAGCGATGCAAGTGTATGCACTTGATACTACTAGTGATGACCCTGCTACTAGTAGCATCTAGCTACTAGTAGTAATGCCCTTGCTACTAGTAGCGATGCCTCTTGTTACTAGTAGCTTCTTTGGCTTCCTGTTGCCGCCCCCCCGCCCCGCCTGCCCGGGCTCAATGCAAAGTAGACCTCATCCGTGTGAATGTGGCCCGGAAGCTCTGCACCGCCCAGGAGCAGCGCATGCTCCACATCCAGGCCTTCCTGCATTCTTCACTCTTCTGTCTTCTCATGCTCCAGAGCATTCGGAGTTCTGACCGTCATGCCGTCCCTTGTGCTGGGCAGCAACTCGACTCTAGCACTCTGAACGATGCACCCCTGCCCCACATACGTTCCATGTGTGCCCAGTATTTTAGTTGAGGCACCTGTAGTCCAAGCTATATAGTTACTCGCGTACAAAATTGACAAGCGATTGAAGAAAATACCCGCCACCAACAACGAGAAGCCTGACTGTGCACTCGCTGCAATGTTGTTGGACTGTGCACAGATCCAACAAGTTTACAGGATAGATTGTAGAAACACTTGCAAAAATGAAGATGCTCGTCCCATGATCTCCCATGCTTCAAGGTAAGCAAGACACAGACATGTGAGTTGCATATCCTGCTCTTTAAACTAACGGGAAACTGGTGTTCACTGTGCCTTGTTCCTGTAAATGTGAGTTAGTGAGCGCTTGTGTATGCTTGAACATATGTGCGAGACTTAAACTCGTCGTGTTCCAGCTGGAAAGTTGGGCGGGAGTACAAAGCTTTGATCATGCGGAAAAGTGACAAGTCTATGGGTAAGTCACTGAACAACCACACTAACGTTGAAGTGATGAAGTGGTAGGATCGAAGCCAGGTAAATGAGCGAAGCACTAATACGAACCTCGGTTGGGCCCGAGCCGTGGTGTCGGAACACTTAGTCCCCGCCCTTGGCTTACCTAGCTGCAGCACCGAAGGAGTATTCCCCCAACCAGTGTCAACCACCTGTGCGATCCTGGATTGTTTAATCGAAGTCAAGATCTGATATGCGCAGGTCAACAAGGAGATCGCCCGGTAATTTGCAATGTCTTGAGTGCTTCCCCTTCTGTATATGGAGACAACCATTGCTTAAGTTGTTCCTCGGGGATTGTTTACAAGCTCCACCATTGACTTACGTAATGCTGCAGTGAGATATTTGCAGTTGTTTGTGTTGAGAGCCTTCATGGTCTCGATCCTCAAATGATCATGCGCTGGAGCTTTGATGGCGTCCAAAACGTCTTGGTCCTTGATATGTTCGACATTCCTACCGACATCCTGATCAAGAATTGTGCGTCTTCGTTTTCAGGTGGAATGGGCGAAGGATTCCATTGAACATGGTGGAGGTAGTCAGCGATGGCTTCTGCTCGTTGGCTCAGCCCAACTCTATTACCATGCCGGCCTTTTAGTGTATATAGTAAATAAACTTACTGTAATCCACTTTTTGGATCTCAAAACTTTGGGACTTTCCACGTTTCTTTGTTTTGCCCGCATAACTGGCCCAGTCGCTGCGTTCATGAGCATCATTTCTCTGCAAGGCTTTATGCCAAGTGCTGGTTGAAATGTATGGTTGTCGCTGATTGCTGGGGGTGGCAGTGAAGCAACGCTGCACGGCTTGCTCGATTGCTTGCCGGAGTGTTTGTATGTCTCTCTCTCTCTCTCTCTTTCAATCTTTCCTTGCATTTCGTTGGTGATCTCAGTGTTGAACTGTGCCTTTCGTTCGGGGCTGGGCTCCTGGTATTTGGGGCGTTCGCGTTACCACACCTGTGGCTTGAAAAAAACACGCAGCAGTCAGCAGTGAGAACATAATGATCCAAGTCCGCGAAGGTCTTGGCTCTCCAGCGGTGGGGAGCAAGCACCAAAATCTAATGGAGCAAATCATTTGGGGTCCCAAGGCGGCTCATGTCTTGAAGCAGGTTCACGGAACTTGAACTGGTTCTGGGGGGTATGTTTGGCTTGGCTAAAGACAGCATTGAGATTCAACATCCGTCCCCTTACTTTTCAGAAACCTTTGTTTGCAACTCATTTGTGGCTCATGTATATATATATATATATTACGTAATCTATAGATATACTATACACGGTGTAAATATTATATATATACGGTGTATATCTGTATAGCGTACATGCACACCGTGTATGGCAAGTGCACAGCCTGCAGTGGGGTTCTCTTCTGGGTCTGCCAAAGACCACTTCACCACTGACATGCACAAATCCACAGGTGTGACGGGTCCTCCAATGCGCGTCGTCTGAGCTGCCTGTAACGGTGTTTGCTCAGCAGCACCTTGGGCCCCAAGGAAACCGAGGTAAGAGTCTACAACAGCCTAAGCAGTGCTTATATTGAAAAGTGCGAAAATAGATATCTTTTTGGAAGTGCTTGGGCCCCACTGATCTCATCCCATTTACACTCCTGTATAAAAAGGGACCTCAGATTAGAGGGGCCCACCGATCTGTTTAACGATTGATAGATCCTGCCAGCTTCTAGGTGGTGCTACTATGTTCTACTGACAGCTTCTGAAAAGCCTCAAGCGAAGCGAATCTTGCTAAGGCACCGTGCCATTTGTCCTTGCTAGCTGCTGCCGATAACGCTGCAATAACCTATTGCTTGCAGCCAACTTGCCCATTTGTATCGAGGATTGGTCATCCTTCAAAATGAGCAGCCATTGAGAAGTGACGCCTGTTTAGCAGAATCATTACCATTTCCCCATCTTTGACAAAAAGCTTAGTGATCTTGCTCTGACATGTGCGGATGCCCAACCCGTGTCCAGCATGACTAAATGACTAAATATCTAAAGCTTACACTCTTTCACATTGCTTGAGGAGAATTAACTACACAAATATCGCATGAGTTCTTGCATGTTCTTACTAATCTGTGCCATTGCGCATGGCAGTGTCCTGCATCAAGGAATTCACGGCGAGCAGCAAAGCCGTGCAGCAGAGCTGCATCGGAAGGCAGCGCTTGATCTCGTCACTACTGAGCGACGAAGAAAGTCTCTCAACCACCTGTAGCGCTTGACTACGGCAACCTACGCTGTCTTTCATCTACTGAGCGACTGCACTTGGCAGTTCCGACACCAAGCTTGTTCTCAAATCTGTGATTGACTGAGCAACTGGATTTGAAATGGATTTATATAGATTCGGCAATTCTGAGAGGCCTTGCGCTGCAGGAGCTGTGTATCCAACAAGCCACAAGGCAAGGATTTACTCTCCCAGCGGATTGATTCCAAAATACTTTTGGCGTCCTGCGCTAAGGTTGGGCGATCTTGGACTTGTGACTAGTGCATCGTTCTCAAGGCAGGCCGTCCAGCCCCTACTGTGTGAAGCAGCGAGGCACCAAATGACAGTTTGTGTCAACTCTCTCTCCCTCTCTCGCTCGCTCTCTCTCTCTCTCTCTAGGTGGTCCTCTCCATGAAACAATGCATGCAACGCCTTCTCATCGACACGGTGCAGCACATGCGCCTCTGCAGCAAATCATTGAATTGCAAAGGCCGGCTTTGTCTGTCATGTTGGGCTCTGTGTGTCATGCTCCGCATACTACAATTTCAAGGAATGAATGGCAAGTCTTCAATCTGCATTCACAACATCTGAAAGGGTTTCCCTCCTGACCGTTTCCTGGTCCTCTCGCGTTGCATATGAAGGTAAGTCATGGTAAGTCCACATGCATCAAGCAGGTACAGTACTGGCGTCAAGGACATCAAATCGAAAAACCAATGAATAGGTCAAGGGAAAATCTGCAGGAAACCCTTGTTCTCACCCCACACCCCAAAAAGTTAAACATGGGCTTCCTGTACTAGATGTTCCCTTAATCCAATTTTCTGCAAAACTCACGTTCCGAACGCCTCCCGGTAAGTGGAACACAGCCTGCATCGCTTCGTGTCCGGAGGGTTGCTCGCCTCGTGAGGCCCCGTCATCCAACTCTCTCTGTTGACCCAAAAAAACGACGGAACATGCTGGACCAAAAAATGTCTAAGCGTGCAATGCGTGCAATGATGCAAATCCAGAAATGAATGTGTATATATATATACACATGCAGATTGTCTGCGTTGGAGTAGCTGGAGAGTCGACTGCACAACTCTGAACAAACATAAAGCCTGCCAGGAGAGGCGCAAGCGCACGGGGTCAAACCTTGCGGCACGTTTTGCTTCGCAAGGGACTGCTTAGTCATCTTAACAATCGCACAGAACCTTTTTGAGGCGAAGAACATTGAGAGAACAACATGTCTTTGTGTATGGCAGAAGTTACACACGAGGAAAACAGTCATAATCAGGTGACAAATGGAGGTTAGTGATAGGTCTGAAGTTTCAATACCCACTGCACCACTTAGCAAATGCATGCGAATAAAGAAAGCCGATGGACTGGATGCGACAAGCCCGAAAACTGGAAGAGTGGGGCTCCGAACTGGGGGACTGAACAAATGCTACAGTAGTTTCAGAGGTTCGATGGCACAGACCCCATGATGTCCTAGACAGATGGGGGGTATACATTATATATATAATTATATAAACCACCGACATTGGGGTCTATGCGATCTATCAATCCACGCATCTATCTTGCATTGATGTCACTCATCCAGCAGCTCATTGGAGAGCACGACCGAGTACCTCACTACCAAAACGGCCGAACTGTTTGCCTATGTCTGCCTGGATGCACAGGACCGAAGCGCAAATCCTACAGCCGACTCTAAACCATGCGACCACCACTGATAAACAAACGCAAACCAACCCAAATGCAAAAAACAACAACAAATGCTTCCAATTCACAAAGGTCCATCTGCTTCCTCGAGCAAAAGTGGCCGCAGGCGCGAAGCAGTCCGGGCATCTGCATCAAAGATCCGCAATTTGCTCGCGATGAACTCTGATGCGGTTTTCCTGGAAAAGGAAGAATGCTGCCACCTCGCTATTAGGTTGGAGGCCATCACTATTATATAGTTAAAGATAAAGCACTTGTTTCTCTCGGTCCAATCTCAAAGTCCCCCAAACTGTGCACAAGCTGCAAGGCACCTCTGTGCCGCTTGAAGTGCTGGCGAGCGTTCACCAATAACATATCTTTGCAAGGAGGCGAAAAAGTTGGAGTGCTCCTTGCCTGAAACGTGAATAAGCACTAGCAAGGGCCGTGGCTGAGTGAGCAAGGGCACCGCCAAACATGCACTTACCCAGCCCGTTGCTGACAAGTTGCGGGCATGACCGAGGATGTCTCGAGCAAGAACGCCAGTTCCGCCTGGCCAGGCGGTGGAGGGCTGTCTATAAGGGTTGGTGAAGGCGCAGGTCTAGGGCTGACCAAACGAGCTTCCAAAACCACTTGCAGCAAGATGACTCAAAGGATAATTCAATATTGAGCACAACTGCATGAAAGGCACCGGGTGGATAAGTACAACAAGCATGAGATGCAACAGAGACTGCAAGGCCTCCGAACTCAATGATGAAAAAGCGGGACGGCTGCCCAAGGGAGTTCCACATGCTCACAATACGGTCGCACACCAGCTGTCCAAAGAATGGGCTGAGCGACCTCAAGCACACCGTATCACATCACACTATGCCTAAAAACAAAGCCGACTGGTTCTGCCTTCTGACCCCACCACCTCAACTTCGGCTTGACCGCGCCACAGTAGACCCTTAGTGACATGCATCAATATGTAGTATCCAAGTAGGAACAAGAAACTACTAGTAACAAAGGGCATCGCTACTAGGAGCAAAGACGCTACTAGTAGCTCCTGGCCTTACCACTAGGAACAAGAAGCTACCAGCGACAAAAAGCTACTAGGGGCTGGCCATACTACTAGGAGCAAGGACGCTACTAGTTGCTCCTGGCCATACTATTAGGAACAAGAAGCTACTGGTGACAAGAAGCTACTAGGGGCTCCTGGCCCTACTACTAGGAGCAAGGACGCTACTAGTAGCTCCTGGCCTTGCTACTAGGAACAAGAAGCTACTGGTGACAAGAAGCTACTAGTAGCGCCTGGCCTTACTACTAGGAACAAGAAGCTACTGGTGACAAGAAGCTACTAGTAGC